AAACACACATATATATGGAAAGCTATTTAAGAAACAGCTTTATTAAGGCATAATTCATATATCATAAAATCCCATTTAATTGTGTAATACAGTTCTAATTTTTAGTAGATTTACAAAGTTGTGCAATTATCCCTACTATCTAATTTCTAAAGATATTCTTCATTTCACAAACAAGCTCATACCCACTGGCAATCACATTCTATTCTCCCTTTCCTTATGATTTGCTATGGTTCTATAGATTGGCTTAATATGGACACTTCATTAGTGAAATCATACAATATGTGACCTTCATAGACTGAATACTTTTATTAACATAATGCTTTCAAGATTCATCATGGCAAAGTATGTATTATCACTTCTCACCAGAAAGACAGAGAGAAAGAAAGTGAGAAATGCACACATGCCTGGCGTGAGTTTAAGCCACTGGGTCCAGGACTAGAACTGCGGTCAACTACATGAGAGTCCAGCGACATAGCCATTACGCCAAGGCGACATAGCCATTCCGCCAACTGCTGGTCCCTTTTTTTTTTTTTTTTTTTTTTGGAGAGGTTCACTTCATTCTTTTTAATGGTTCAATAATATCCCATTGTATGCACAGATCACATTTTATCCATTTTCCAGTTCATAAACATGTGGGCTGCTTCAGCTAAAAAAAAGAAATAGTTTAAAAAGTTTCTAATCTTATCAAAGTCGAATTTATTTTCTTTTTGCTTATTGCTTGTGGGTGGTTTTTTTTTTGGGGGGGGTTGTTTTAGTGTTTTTCCCTACTTGCTTGTCACTTGTGCTTTTAATACAAGATCTTTCAGAATTCCTCCCACCCCTCAGGGCAAAAAATGAGGATGTAGAGTACATGAATGTTCACTATTAAAAGATAACTAGGGGGAACCAGCAGTTAGCATAATGGCTATGTGGCTGGACTCCCTCGTAGTCGACCGCGGTTTGCGTCCTGGACCCGGTGGCTTAAAACTCATGCCGGGCGCATGTGTGTGTGTGCCTAAGATCCTGAGAGGAGGATAGAGGAGAAGGGATTGCGGTGTGACCATTCCCCCTGGGGGGGTGATTTCTCGCTCTCTGTCTCTATGTCTCTCTCTGTCAGTCTGGCGAGTGCATGCGCCCTATAGCAAAATCTCTCCAAAAAAAAACATAACTAGGGGGAGGACCAGCAAGTGGCATGGTGGTTAAGAGCAATGGACTCCCACATGGCTGACTGTGGTTCGAACCCTAGACCTGGCGGCTTACTTTCTCACTTTCCCTCTTTCTCTCACATACACTCTGTCCCTCTCTGGTGAAATTAAAAATAAAGTTAAATAATTAATTCTTTAAAAAAAGCTAATTGGGAGAAAAAATACTCTAAATAGTAATCTTCAAATCCTCTAGTCATTGTCTAATCTCTGAGAACAGGTGCTAAGTAACTGCTACATCATAACTTTCCTTCATTTCTTTCTTTACTAACCTTTTATCTTTCCAGTGCTCATGGTTTGGGATTTGGGAAGGCAGTGAATGAGAAGGCACTTGGAATGGAATTATTGGGTCATCAGAATAGTCATGACACATTTTTGCATAGAAAAAATGTCCTTACTTGGAACAGCAGATGGTGTAATGGTTATTTTTGGGGGGGTTTGTTTTAGTGCTTTTAGTTTTTCGTCCATATGTGCTAGACTCCCACGTATGACTGTGTTTCACATCCCAGTTCTGATGCTTTAAAATTCATGCCGGGCATGTGTGTGTGTGCCCCCAAGATCCTGAGAGGAGAATGGAGAAGGGATTTTAGCATGGTCTTCCCCCCCCCCGAGGTGATTTCTTGTTTCCTGTCTTTCTCACATGCCATATAGCAAAAACCTGTCAAAAAAAAAGAAAAATGTCCTGGGACCAGCAGTTAGCGTAATGGCTATGTTGCTGGACTCCCACGTAGTCAACCGCAGTTCGCGTCCCGAACCCGGTGGTTTAAACTCACGCCAGGTGCGTGTGCGTGCGTGCCCAAGATCCTGAAAGGAGAATGGAGGACAAGGGATTGCAGTGTGACCAACCCCCCCCCCCCGGGGTGATTTCTCACTTTCTATCTCTCTCTCTCTGTCTGGCGAGCGCACGCACCCTATAGCAAAAACCTCTAAAAAAAAAAAAAGAAAAGAAAAAAGAAAAATGTCCTGACTTTTTTAATGACCAGTAGATTTTTCTTTTTTTCTTTTCTTTTTTTTCTTAAGAGAGATTTTCCTATAGGGAGAGTGCACTCTTCAGAAAGACAGAAAGTGAAAAATCAACCCCCAGGGGGCGTGGCCAAACTGCAATCTCTTCTCCTCTATTTTCCTCTTGGGATCTTGGGCATTCATGCACATGTACCCAGCATGAGGTTTAAACCACTGAGTGCAGGATTCGAACTACAGTTGACTACATGGGAGTCCACTGATGTAGCCATTATGTCATCTGCTGGTCTCGACCAAAAGGTTCTTTGACTCTTGCTTTTTGCATTGTGCAAGTCCAGAAGGTACCATCAATATTGTAGTTCCTATGACCTGCTAAAATGCATACGGTCATCTTTCAACTTTTAAACTTGCTTCTCAAATCATGGGGGACACTAAATAGGCAATACATTCAAGAACCAAACTTGTAAGCTAAATCTCTTGCCTCCAACCTTCTTTCAAAAGATCATGACTAACAAGTAGCGGAATGACCACCATAAATTTGGATCCTAACAGTTTTTTAAAGGTTTATTTATTTCCTCCATGAGTGCAAGAGACAGACAGTGGGACAACACCTGCAATGGGGTCTTAGCACGCCGGGCTAGGCCGGCCAAGGATCATGGGCACTGTGTGACTGTTGTGGTCAGACAGGTATCAGGAGGCAAACATAGGACTTCCCCTTGTGGGTCAGCTCCACAGAGCATCATATTTTTACCAGTGTGCCACTGTCCAGCCGCTCGGGTCCCTCAAATTTTAAAATAAACTGCAGGGGCTTTGGTCTCAGAAAGCCATAGTTTTGATCCTGACCATACTAGGTGCGTGCTGCTGGTCACATTCCTTAGCATTCCTAGGTGACCTGTAGTCTAGGGATGAATGTCTCAGAGTTGCTAAGAGGCTTAACACAGGCAACACAGGTGAAGTTCCCGGCACACAGTAAGCACTTAAGCGATGTGAGCTCCTCTGAAATGGAAGTAATGTACCCTAAAACCCATTAGATTAAGACCACAGAGCTGCAATATGGTAGTCACCAGCAACATGTGACTGTTAATTAATTGAAATTAAATAGACTTTGTTTAATATTCAGCTCCCTGTGCTCAACAGTCACATGTGGTTAATGACTACAGGGTAGATGCTATTTACCAGTGCCACTGTTGCACTAGGTTCTACTGAACAAAAGAAATGACAGAACAATGCAAGAACTCAAAGTCCAGAAGCCTAAATTTTTGCTACTAACTGTAAAACTTTAGGGAGCAACTTCATCTCATTGAGTCACAACTTTCTCACTGGTAAATGGAATAATGCCTTTGCAATGATGTGGGGATCAGACGCATGGACATCCCTTTTCCCCTGGTTTTCTCATCATCTGGCCAGGACCCCAACACTAACCGGTGCATAATGAGGTCACTAACAAGGATCACTTCAAGGATAACTTGATAGGCACAGTCCTTTGGGACTTGAATATTCATAGCCATGACTCGGTATTATTCCAACAAACCTGTAAGGAGTTATGAACCGCGTATGTTTTTTTGTTTTGTTTTGTTTGTTTTTGTTTTTGGAGAGGTTTTTGCTATCGGGCGCATGCACTCGCCAGACAGACAGAGAGAGACAGAGAGACAGAAAGCGAGAAGTCACCCTCCGGGGGAATGGCCACGCCGCAATCCCTTTTCCTCCATTCTCCTCTCGGGATCTTGGGCACGCACGCACACGCGCCCGGCGTGAGTTTTAAGCCACCGGGTCCAGGACACGAACCGCGGTCGACTACGTGGGAATCCAGCGACATAGCCATTATGCTAACTGCTGGTTCCCAGGATTGGAGTTTTCAAGGAAAAAAAAATTCTTAATCCTGACAAATAACCACTTATTTGAAGATAAAAAGCTATTGCTTGTTATTAACTCCTTTGCAAAATGATTATGTGAAAGATTTAATTCCTTTATTCCTTCCTCCAAACTGAGATAACTAGAAACATCTATAGTAATTTGAACACAACCAAAAATTCAAATATGCATTTATGGTCTAACTGACAAAATATATCATACATCATTTTACTGTATTAAATAGTTATTAAGCTATCAAAAAAACAAAACACACTGGGTCAGACCCATAGTCTAGTGGTTAAGGTAGCTGGATCCCCCATTCAAACTGCAGGTTGAATCCTAAACCCAGTGGCTTGAAAAACACACCGGGTAAATGTGGGGGTACTTTCTCCTTTTCTCTGACAATTGCATGTATCCTTGGACAATTAAAAAAAGAAACATACACCCCAAAAGACATTGTTAATAGTTTTCATTCGATGCATAGCCATTATGAAAGAATATAAGACTGATCAAATGGTTTATTTTGCCATGGCAAATGTGGATACATACTATAATGACTACTTTCATCCAGATGTGAAACTTATGAGAACAATATAAGCACAAACAAACTAGCTTAGTAAAACACAAGCAAACAAAATAGCTTGGTCTGCTATACACTTGCACATTGAAAGAAATCTTAATGACGGCAACTGAGCCTCCTTAAATGGGAGGAGCTTGTGCTAGTGTGCTTCCTTTAGCATCATGGAGGCAGAAGTCACATTTCAACCTGCTAGATACCAAGACACTTACCTAGACTTCCGGTTAGTATATATGTATTATTCTTTCATTGAACAACCTCCGAACATAGAAATACTTATTAGATACAGATGAGTGGAACTGGAATAATCCTGAGACAGTCTAAGTTTTCTGGGGTTTTTTTTTGAGATATGCCTAAGACACTGAGGTTAGTGTCTTAGTAATAGAAAAATTGTTAGTGAAAATAAGAGACTAAAGTAAGAAATGCAGATCTTAGAGCTTATAAAACATAGAATTTTATTTAAATTTGTATACAGATAAAAAATTTAACAAAACTTAAACAAAATCCTAATTCAAATTCTTTCCTACCACAGAAATGGACATTATAGATAAAGGCAACATTTCCCTCAATTACATTTTCCCACCTTTCTACCGCAAGCTGATAGGTTCGGTTACAGGGCAGATTAAGGAGGGAAGAAAAATGACACTCAACATACTTTGATCTTCAATGTTGTCTCATCTTGAAATGATTCACAGAGATTTCCAGAAGAGATTAGCATTCTTCAGTTTTGACTTTAAAATAGAACCTTCTTTTCCAAAATCCCAAATAAGGCTTCTGGCTTTATTTTTAGTGTGAGGTAAACAGTAGATTCAATATTAAGGCAAACGGTAAAATATATGTGTAGTATATTAATGTGGATCTTACCTTATAAAATATATTTTGATAAATACAGAGATTTCCCAAATATAGGCTGGAATTAGAATCTTGTCAAAACTGCTGCCATTCGAAATAGCTGTTCGCTTCAATATCTTAACTGCCTTTTTGGTAGTTAATATGTTAAATGTAATTTTGTCTGAGGTTTTTACCGCCCATGTTTTTATCATTTTTTTTGGATTAGATGTCCACCGATATTCTTATACCTCAATCAGGGCTTGATTTAAAAATCTGTATCTATGCACATTAGTTTGGTCATACAGACTGTACCCCCAAAGTTGGCAAAATAGTGACTACTGAGAAGGTTATGATAGAAAAATCCAAAAACACAGGATATTATTTTTTATAAAGACTATAAGTAATATCAGATTTAGGCCACTGAGATATCCAACTCCAGAAAAGGCAGATTTAGGATTTTTCATACAGTGACTCTTGTTCATTTTCTCTCTCATTTTTTTTCCCCAATGAGAAACCATTTCTTTCACAGTGATAAAAGAACCATCGCTATCTTATGGAAAAATGACTTCCTTCCCCGAGGAGCAGAATGAAGATGTCACTTCTTTGCCACGCTGGCCACTGCTTTCTTGGCTGCATCCTCCAGGTCCACAGCTGAAGTAATGGGGAGGCCACTGTTACTGAGTATGTTCTGAGCTTCTTGGACATTGGTTCCTAGAAGGGGGAATGATGGACAATCACTGAATGAAACTGGAGGCGGTGCCCGGCAGAAGTTTCATACAATCTGAAATCACACTTGCTCATGCCTCACCTGATGCTAACATCACTTAATCACAACATTGCATTTTCAGCTTCCTATGATCCAGGTCTGTCTAGTTAGACACATCCAGATGGCAAATTCATTCCTTTCTTCTTTTCTCTTCAATTATCTGGCACTATAGATACTGCCTACATTTTCTCTGGCACCTAAAAAAAAGGGAACTTAACTTCCTTTAACATTGCGCTTGAAGGAAGATTAACAACCACTCATTCGACTAGTTTGAAAGAGGAAAATCTTCTTGACTGTATTTATGCCTTGACTGAATGGCCTGATTTTAGAATCTGAAGATAAATCCTTGTGGGAAAAATGAGCAGAAGGATGGCGAACTGTGTCGGGGTGGTATGGAATACTGGAATAACGAGGGAGGATACACAGGACTAAGCCTCTTATATCGTCTCTCCAGGAAAAGATTATGTGCCAAGATCAATCTCAAGCTGTGGTCCAAGTAGAAAAGATGATGTGAGAGCTCAGAAATCGAAGTCCCAGAGACTGGAGTACTAATATGGTGAATCGGAGAAATGGCCTCAGAACCAAAGCCTCTCTCTGACCTTTCCCCAGAACCCTGAATCTCAAGCATTTCTGATCATCATGGAGCAGGGAAGGACTTTACTCTGATATTCCATTATCAACCTATAGACTAAACCCTTCAAAGAAGAACCCATTACTTTCTCGGAGGTTCACTGACTAAGGTCATATCACAAGAAGGAAGCCTAAAGGATGTTAACACACCTGGACAGAGAGTCATGAGTGAGGCCCATCTAGTAGGCCCATCCAGGAAACAAAGACATTTATTCACCCTTGTCTGAGCACTGGACATATTCTTTTTCCCTAAAATTCACTTGCTCTAAAATTGCCTGTATACCCCACTGTCCTCTCCTCTGAGAGGAGACTACTTACACCATAACCATGCTACCATTTTTTGAGCTCATTTTTTTTTGGAAAGGTTTTTGCTATAGGGTGCGTGCACTCGCCAGAGAGACAGAGAGATAGAAAGTGAGAAATCACACCCCAGCGGGGACGGCCATGCCGCAATCCCTTCTCCTCCATTCTCTTCTCGGGATCTTGGGCATGCATGCACACGCGCCTGGCGTGAGTTTAAGCCACTGGGTCCGGAACTTGAACCGCGGTCGGCTACATGGGAGTTCAGCGACATAGCCATTATGCTAACTGCTGGTCCCGAGCTTATTTTCTTGTTTTTAATTGTAATTTAATTTTTTATATTTTCAATTACTGTGTATCATTATAGCTTGCAAAAATGAATTTCCCAGCATGACTACATTGCATATCAATCCAGTTAAAGATATTACTATATCATACATGTTATCATCAAAAGATAATTTTCCATTTTTGTGTTCTTTAAATGTTTTGCTTCTTTTTCTCCTTGCTTCCCTGGGATTATCATTTTCTATGACTCCCATGTACAAAATGTTTATGTAAGATCGATATATATGGCTTTTCTCTTACAGATCTGCCTATTGACAGTGATTTGCAGTAAAGCTTTTAAGAGGGGATGGAAGGTGGCATGGTGGTTAAGATGATGGACTTCCACATGACGAACTGTAGTTTGAGTCCCGGGCCTGGTGGTTTGAAAATCACATCAAGGATGTGTGCAAGCATGCCCCAAACCCCAAGAGAATGAAAGACAGGGACAGCAGAGTGGCTATCCCCTGCTGCCTGGAGCGGGGTGGGGGGGTGGGGTGGGGGGGTTGTTTCTCACTTTCCCTTTCAGTATCTCTTACAAACACAAGAGTGCATACGCCCTATGGCAAAAATCTAAAAAGAAAAAAAAAGAGGGGATAGAGATTTCCTTCACCCCTATAAAAGCAAGGACTTGCCAGAGGGAAATATTTTTTTTTAAACAGATGGAAACTGAAATGTCTGCTGATAACCTCCAGTCAGGTAAATTTAACACTGTTTGGGCCCACACCAGAAGTCACCTGCTTAAGGATCTCTTGGAAGGCAGGGGTCCTAGTCCTGACCTGACCTGACCTGACCTGAGATCCAAAGTTCTGAAACTCTACCCACATATGCCCATGAGTCTACTGCCCTGTAGCCTCTGGCAGTATTCAAGCATCCATTTCCACTCTTGTCCTCACTGTAAAATGAGAAGGGTGCAGGCCCTAAAAAATGAGCAGTGTGACCTCAAGGACACCTCTAGGCTGCTCCTGGTGGACCTATAGATTTGCTGGCCAAGCCGCCTCAGCCAAAGGTATGCCCAGGGGACTGACTGTTTAACCTGCAAACTGATTTTCTGTTCTTTCAGAGTGAACAACTCTCTGGGAGAAACACAATAGAATTTAAGTGTCTAATGAACTAATCTCATCTTACATCATTTCCTGTGCTTTTATCTAGTTAGCAAGACAGAGCCAATTTATAAACAAAGACTTTGAAATAAAGACCTTGGAAAATCTGCTTTACTATAGAGTGCAAATAAAACAAGGTCCTGGTCAGTGTGTTTCATATAGAGGCAAAGGCCAGGTTAAGCAGGATAGCTGGACTGAAAAGGAGATGCAGCAGGGATTCTCCTGGGACCAAAGCAGTGGTGAAGGGACATGTAGCACTGTCTTCTGCTCAAGGCTTACAACTGCTGCCTTACACAGGGATCTAAGGAAAGGCCTCTCTGGAAAGAGGTGGGAAAGTTGTTTTTCCCTCTCCTGGCTCTGTCATGGACTCACTGGAAAGCTTTGGGTAAAATAACTCCTTTGAGCTTCAGTTTATGTCCATACATGGCACTATTATCCTCACCTTCTTCCTCTGGACTATTAATCACTAAGTGTTTAAGTAGGTCAGCCATAAGGCCATGTAGCTTAGCTCATGAAATCTTCACAAGAACTATAAGGAGGTCCTACTGTTCCTATTTTGCAAATAAGGCAACTGAGGTACAGAGAGGGTAAATTACTTCTCCAAAGTCACAGAAGTGATCAATGGAAGAGATGCAACTTAACTGTTCTCTGAATATTCTAGAAATTTGCTGATCTGCTTTCCAATTTGTCAAGATAAAATACCTGACAGCAGAGGTTGTAAAGAGAAGCAAATGAAACAATTCATGTGAAAACATTTTGTATAGGGCTACGTATCTGTTGCAGATCTGGCTAGCTGTCCTGCTCCTCTTCTACAGTGCAGAGTGGTTACTGGAAAGCAGCCTCCCAGACAGAAACTACACTGACCAGGCCCTACTTACATTTGGGGGGGGGGTGGTAATGGTGGTGGTCATGCAATTGAGTTCTGGCCAATGAAATGCAAATGGATATGAAGCACATGCCCATAAAAAAATCTTTTTTTAAAGAATTTTGTATTCAGCTTGCTTGCTTTCTTTCCCTCCCTCCCTCTCTCTCTCTTTCTTTCTTTAAATTTGACCAGAGAGGGACAGGGAGAGAAAGAAAAAGTGAGAAAGCAAGCTACCAGGTCCGGGACTAGAACCTCAGTCGGCCATGTGGGAGTTCAGTGCCCTTAACCACCACACCAATGGCCCCAATGCCTGTAAAAATTTCTAATAGTCTGTTTTCCCTGTCTTCCTTCTGGAATGTTGCCAGCCAGGGCAAACTTTGAAGGCACCCTTTTAAAGATGGCAATGACTCCTTCAGTCTGGATCCTCGAGTAACTGTGTGGAGGAGAGCACCCCACCCTCTCACTTTCTCAGTCGGATGTGAGTAAGAACCTTCCACTATGTTGACATTTCAGGATTTCACTTTTGTTACAGGAGCTAGATTACTTAGACTAACATAATATTTTGTAAGCGTTGTGGTAAGGTGGCTTCTAAAATAGATTCTGCCTCCATATCTAGTCCTTACATAATCCTGTCCCTTAAAAGTAGACTTGTCCCAGTGCCTTGCTTCTAATGAATAAAAACACAACAAAACTGATGGGCTTTCACTACTGACACCAGGTTACAAAAGTCCACAGCTTCTGTGCTGCTCTTCACTCTGATGAAGCCAACTGCCATGCTTGAACTGTGTGTGGAGAATCCTGCTTGGAACCGAGGATGGTCTCTGGCCAGTAGCCAATGAGGAGCTGCAGACTGCAAACAACCACCCATGTGTGCTTGGGAGCAAGTTCTTCCCAGCTGAGCCTTGAGATGTCTGTGGCTCTGGCTAAAGCCCTGACTGCAAACTTGTGGGAGACTCTGAGCCAGAACCCCATCAAAGCATACCCACATTCCTG